GTAGGACCCCCAGATTGGGGTACCCTACGTTCTCGGGAGGTTGCACCCCAATAACTCAGTCCTCAAATCAGAAGATGCAACAAGCATAAGGATTTATTGGCGTTTTGCAAAACGGACTTCCACCTCACTCGGAGGACAGAAGTCCAGAGCCCAGTTCACAGGTTTCTTTTAAAGACAAGCGGTGGCTATGTGCCAAGCAGAGGTAGGGGGAATTTCTGGGATGATTTCCAGCTTGGGCAGAGGAGCATGTAAAAGGTCAGCTCAGCTTGTTCTTAGCATTCAGAATTATTTTTTATTTTTACTTTCTTGTACAGTTTTTCTCAGGCCTGGGGGATTTTAGTTTAAATCCATTATTCTGGGGGCTTTGGATCCATCACTACTTGGTGCACAATTATAAAAAGAAATAAGAGTTGGAGAGATGGCTCAGTGGTTGAGTACTGGCTGCTCTTGCAGAGGACCTGGGTCTGGTTCCCAGCACCCACATGGTGGCTAACTACTCTAGTACCAAGGGACCTCAGCACCCTCTTCTGGCCTCCATGGGCACTGCAGACATGGGTACACTTACATACATGCAGCCAAAACCCTCATGCACATAAATAGCTGGATTTGGTCGTACGTGCCTTTACTTCCAACACTTGGGAAGCAGAACAGGCAAGTCTTCGTGAGCCAGCCTGATCTACATAGGTGGGTTCCAGGCCAGTCAGGGCTATATAGTGAGACCCTGTCTCAAAAAACAAATTTTTTTGGAGACAAGATCTTGCTATGTAGCTCAGGCTAGCCTGGAACTCTGGTTCCTTTTACCTTTGCCTCCTATGTGCTTGGATTACAGGTGTAGGCCAGTATGTCCACTCCAGGGAGATTTTTTTTTGTATTTTTGAGACAGGGTCTCCCTTTTCCCTGTAGCCTCAGCTGGCCTGGAACTTGCTATGTAGATCAGGCTGGCCTCGAACTCACAAAAGATCCACCTGCTTCTGCCTCCTGAGTGCTGGGAATAAAGGCATGTGCCACCACATGCAGCAAGATTTTCTTTAAGCCTCTTATAAAGTTGTTTAATAGGACTTGTAATATTTTTTTATATTATAACAAACAGTATTTTGTTCTTATGGTGCTGGAGATGGTATCTAGAACCCTGTGCATTCTAAACAAGTGCTCAACTGCTGAGCTGTGCACCCGGCCCAAGAAGTGTTTGTTTAAGAATAAACTTCTGGGGCTGGAGAGATGGCTCAGTGGTTAAGAACACTGGTTGTTCTTGCAGAAGACCTGGGTTCGAATCCCAGCACCCACATGATGGCTAACAACTGTAATTCCAGTTCCAGGGGATCCAACGCCCTCTTCTGAATGCCACAGCCATTGTACACATGTGGTATACTTACATGCTGCCAAAACACTGATATACATAAAAATAGATAAAAAAATTAAAACACCATTTTTTAATATTTTAATTTTAATTTTTATTTTATGTGTATGTGTGTATTGACTGCATGTAGGTAAGTGCACCCATGTCACGCAATGCCCACAGAGGACAGAAGAGGCCGTTGGGTCCCATGGAACTGGAATTTTGGACAGTTGTTAGCTGCTGTTTGTGCTGGAATTCGAACCTGCATCTAGTGCAAGAACAGCCAGTGTTCTTAACCGCTCCCCATAAAACACCATTTTTAAAAAAGGATGATGGCAGCTGGGCGTGGTGGTGCATGCCTGTAGTCCCAGCACTCAGGAAGCAGAGGCAGGCGGATCTCTGTGAGTTGAAGGCCAGCCTGGTCTACATAGTGAGTTCCAGGACAGCTGGGGCCACAGGGAGACCCTGTCTCAAAAAGACCAAAAAAAAAAAAAAAAAAAAAGGATGAAATTTGAACAAAGACCTAGATTTTACTTTCCAAAAACTGAAGTTATCCACTACAGTAACTTAGCATAGAGGAATAATGGAACACCTTTCCTAAGAGCTCAAGCTTTGTGGGGGCTTCCTCATTCTGTGTCTGCAGTGGCAGTCATGTAACAAGCGATTCTGTCTTCTACTTATGTGGTGGGTAGTTTTTGTGTATTTCTGGCAGATGTCACACAAGGGCCATGAGGTGCCACCCTCTAGGAATGAACCTCTCCCTGAATCTAGTTGTTTTGGCCTCGTTTATGAGTATAATTCATTATAGCCATTGATCACATACTGAACTTTCAGCCAGACTCTAGAGGAGTTGGGGGTGGAGTTGTCACCTAGGGGCCGCTAGTCAACAGTCAACATTAGCATATAAAAAGATACTCATCATTTTGAACATTCCAATGCTGGGCGAGTACTCTTAGCAACTGAGCTATGACTTTCTAAACCCTTAGGTCTTTAATCCCAACACTCAGGAGGCAGAGACAGGCAGATCTCTGTGAGTTCAAGGCTAGCCTGGTCTATATAGTGAGTTCCAGGCCAGCTGGGACTACACGGAGACCCAGTATCAAAAAGACCAAAAAAAAAAAACCAAAAACACAAAAACACAAAAACATTTTTTATTGCAATCTGGAAATGGAACCCAGGGCCTCTAGCATCCTAGGGAAGTGCTCTACCACTACGCCAAATCCCCGAACCCTTTGTCAGCCTCAAGTCTGGACTTACCTACTGATGGACATTTGGGGTACTTCCATTTGTGAGTTATTTTTTATAATGCTAATTTGGATAGTCATGTACAATTTTTTTTGTATGGACTCATACTTCAATTATATATTTTTTGTTTATTTTTCCTTAAAATATTCAGCTGGGGGTTTAAGAGTGTAGTTCAGCGGTACAGGATTTGTCTTGTATGTATGAGGCCCTGAATTTGCTGGAGTACCACACACAAAAAAATACTCAGTTGGGATTTGAAATTTCATTGCTGTTGTGCTGGAGAGAATAGTTCAGTGACAGAGTGCCTGCCTAGCACATGTGAGGGTCTAGATTGGATCCCCCAGCACCACACACAAAAAAATGTGGATCAGTTTGGAGAAAATATGTATTGTTTGTTTGTAGGTAGTGTCTTGCTCTAGCCCAGGCTGGCCTGGAACTCACTATGTAGCCCAGACTGGCCTTCAACTCAAGGCAATCCTGCCTCAACTTCTCAAGTACTGAGGTTACAGGTGTGAGCCACTATGCCAGGCTGAGAATGTAAAACTGGGGATGTAGTTCAGTGGTAGAGTGCTTGCTTAGTATCCTCAAGGTTCTGAGTTTAATCCCTAATTACCACAAGGGAAAGAAACAAAACAAACACATCAATATGGCCTGGTATAGTGGTGCTCACCCGTGTACCTTTAGTCCCAGCTCTTTGGGTGCCTAGGAAGGAGATACTTTGGGGACAGCCAGGACGGAATCACAGAGACCCTTTTTTTCTTTTCTTTTTTAAAACAGGGTCTCACTATGTAGCCCTGGCTGGTCTGGAACTTGCTAAGTAGACCAGGCTGCCTTAGAACTCACAGAGATCTGCCTTCTTCTGCCTGTAGTTCACTGATTAAAGGCATGTACCACCACACCTGGCTCCTTTTCATTTTTTTAAAGAGATTAAAATTTTTTCTATTTTTTATTATGTGTGTATGTGTGGGCACCCGAGGAAGTCAGAAGAGGGTGTCAGATCCCCTGGAGCTGGAGTTGTGAGCCACTTCACATGGGTGCTGTGAACTGAACTTGGGTCCTCTGAAAGAGCAATGCATACTTTTTATTATTATTTTATTTTTTTAAATTTTATGTATATGCGTGTATTGCCTGCATGTAGGTAAGTGCACCCGTGTCGTGCAGTGCCCTCGGAGGACAGAAGAGGCTGTTGGATCCTCTGGAACTGGAGTTACGGACAGCTGTTAGCTGCCATGTGGGTGCTGGGATTTGAACCCGGGCCTTCTGCAAGAACAGCCAGTGTTCTTAACTGCTGAGCCATCTCTCCAGCCACTGGTTTTTGTTTTGTGAGACAGGGCCTTACTGTAGCCCCAGTTGGTCTGGAACTCACAATGTAGACCAGACTGGCTTTGTTCTTACAAAGATCCGCCTGCCTCTGCCTCCCAAGTGCTGGGACCACCATCTGTGAGTTCAATGCCAGCCTGATGTACATAGTAAGTTCTAGGCCAGTTGGACTATCAAGAGACCTTATGTTAAAAAGACCAAAAAAGGGGGACTGGAGAGATGACTCAGCGGATAAGAACACTGACTGCTCTTGCAGAAGACCCAGGTTCAAGCCCCAGCACCCACATGCCAGCTAACAACTTTCTGTAACTCCAGTTCCAGGGGATCTGACAGTCTCTTCTTTCATCTGCAGGCATTGCATGACATGGGTTCACTTACCTACCTACAGGCAATTGCACACATACACATAAAATAAAAATAGCCGCGTGTGGTGGTGCATGCCTTTAGTCCCAGCACTTGGGAGGCAGAGGCAGGCAGATCTCTGTGAGTTCAAGGCCAGCCTGGTCCACATAGTGAGTTCCAGGACAGCTGGGGCTACAGGGAGACCCTGTCTCAAAAAGACCAAAAAATAAATAAAATATATTTTTTAAAAGACCCAAAAAGAAAGATTTTTAAAATTTTTCTTTTTTCTTTTTTTACTTTTTTAAAAATTACTTTTATTTTATGTGTATAAATGTTTTGCCTGCATGTATGTAAGTGCACAAGGTGCATGCAGTGTCCATGAAGATCTGAAGAGAATGTTGGATCCCCAGAAACTGGAGTTAGATAGTTGTTAGCCACCATGTGGGTGCTGAGAACCAAACCCAGGTCCTCTGGAAGAGCAGTACATACTCTTAATCACCAAGCCATCTCTCTTAAAGAGGTTTTTTATTAGCATATATTAATTGTACAAAGTAATGAATTTTTCATGACATTTCCACACACACACTAATGAGCTTCAATCATATTTACGTCTGTTACATTTTCTTTTCATCCACCTTTTTTTCTCCTTCCATATCCTTAGTAGATTTCTTCCAAAACAATTTTCATAATATATAATTATTTCATCAGATTATGAAATGTGTCATTTATTCAATCTATAAAACATTTTTTAAAAATTTTATTTGCCCTAGGCATGAAACAACTTTGGCCACCAAGCCAGGCATCAAGTTAGGATGAACAAAGGACACTATCTGCTTTGCCCCCCACTGATAGAAGAACAACAGCACCAGTGTGATGTCCCTTTTCCCATTGCCAGTGGGTCAACTTTAAAACATTTTAATGAGCTTTGTTATCCTTATTTTATGTAAAACAGTTTATTGAGTACACTGCAAGAAGGTGGTGGGCCAGGCAGTAACTGTAGTTGAATAGAGTTTAAAAAAGTTTTTTCTACAGAGGATCATTTCTACTAGTGTTCCATTACCACAAGCTTCAAAGGTTAAAATACAGGGAAAAAATACATACTGGGCTGGACATGGGAGAAAGAGAAACCTTGGGTTCCATCCTCAGCACTGCAAAACAAACAAAACAGTAAATAGGACACAGTTTTTATGGTTAGGCGTCAGGGATTAGGGCTAAGAGGGATTAGGACCGGAATGGGGCATGTGGCTCAGTGGGGGAGCATTTACCCAACAACATGTGCAAGGCCTAGAATTCCAGCCCCAGCACACATACACACACACACACACACACACACACACACACACACACACACACACACATATCAGGGCTTGCTTTAGTTGTGTTTCCTGCTTAGGGTCTTACAAGCTGAAGTCAACCTGTTGGCTATGGCTGCAACATCATCTGAGGCTTGACCAGGGAGGCAGCCACTTCCAAATTCCTTGTAATTGTAGAATTTATAGAATGGAGGTCTTCAGTCTCCTGCTGGATGTCTACTGGAGGGCACCCCTCAGCTCCTTGAAGCCAGCCTCTAGCCTTTGCTATTTAAGATGCTCCCAAGCAGCTGCTTGCTTTATCAAAAGCAGCAAGGTAGTGAGAGTCTCCTCATTAGATGGTTGTTTCAATCTTATCTTTAATACACGCATGCATTACATATAACCGGTCAATTTTGGTCCTATACACACTGGATGAGAGTGAATTATATACATAAAAGATGTGAAAAGCAAGAGGTGGGGGACATGGGAGCCATTTCAAGTGTGTGCACATTACACTGTTCCTGATGTATAATTCTCAAGTCCATAAAGAGACATATAAAGAAATGGTATTTTTGTTTGTTTGTTTGTTTTGGTCTTTTTGGGACAGGGTCTCCCTGTAGCCCCAGTTGGCCTGGAACTCACTATGTAGACCAGGCTAGGCTTGAACTCACAGAGATTGTCTTGCTTCTGCCTCTGGATTAAAGGTGTGTACTACTACATCCAACCAGAGATAATCTTGCTATGCAGCTCTGGCTGGCCTTGTATTTACTATGTAGCCCAGGGTGACCTGAGACTTGGAGCAGCCCTCCTGCCTCAGCCTCCCACATCCCAAGTACTGGAATTGCAGATGTGTACCACTATAGCCAGCTTTTATTTATAAGAGTGAAGGCATTGGGGAAAAGGTTTGCACTGTGATGCCCTTTGTGGTTCTGAAAATGTGAACGTATAATCAATGGATTAGATACACCCTTGGCCATAGAGATGGGTATTTATTTTCTGCGCTTTTTCTTAAAATACAGGGTCTTGCTATATAGCCCAGGCAATCCTGGAACTCACTATCCTGTTACCTTAACCTCCCAAGTGCTGGAATTAGAGGAGTGTACTACCAAGCTTGGCTCTGTCTTTCATTTTTAATTTATACTATGTTGCCAGACATTTTCAAATTCTATTTTAAAATTTTATTTAGTTTTAAATCTAAATGAAAATATATTGTTTTCTTCTGACTATGGCAGCAATGCATATTGACTGTAACTATTTTTCAGACAACAAAGTGTAAAAAAGAAAGTAACCAGCTATTGATTATCTCTTCTCCCAGAAATAGGTACTGTCAACATTACCTTCTCAAACTGTTTTCCCTTCTTATGTTTAGAAAGTACCAAATGCTAGGGTTGAATGAGTACTGTGGGCAGAGGTATCACATAAATTTAATGCTTAAAAAAAAACTGTTTTTCCTGTATGGATACAGATATGGCTACGTGTATTTTTTTTTCTTTTTTAAAATTTATTTATTATGCCGGGTGTGTTGGCGCATGCCTTTAATCCCAGCACTCAGGAGGCAGTGTGAGTTCTAGACCAGCCCAGTGTACATAGTGAGTTCCAGGTCAGTTGGGGCTATAGGGAGACCCTTTCTCAAAATGACTAAAAAAAAAATTTATTTATATATATTTTATGTGTATGAATGTTTTGCCTGCATGTATGTAAATGCAATATGCGGAGACCAGAAGAGCGTGTTGGATCCTCGGGAACTGGAGTTATGGATGGTTTTTACCCATCATGTGGGTGCTGGGAACCCAACCTGGTCCTCTGTAAGAGCAGCCAGTACTCTAAACCGCTGAGTCATTTCTCCAGCCCAACATCTTTTTTCAAAATCTTGTTTTCTTTCTTGGATATTTTTCTTTTTTTTAAAAAAATTATTTATTATTTTTATTTTATGTGTATGCGTGTATTGCCTGCATGTATGTAAGTGCACCTGTGTTGTGCAATGCCCACGGAGGTCAGAAGAGGTGGTTGGATCCCCTGGGACTGAAGTTACGGACAGTTGTTAGCTGCCATGTGGGTACTGGGATTCGAACTCGGGTCTTCTGCAAGAACAATCAGTGTTCTTAACCACTGAGCCATCTCTCCAGCCCGATATTTTTCTTTTTTAATTTGGTGCTGGGATTCGAATCCAGCTACAGACACACTCTACCACTGAGCTACACCCCTAGTCTCTGATATATCATTTTATTTATTTATTTTTTTGTGGTACTGGGAGTGGATCCTAGCATGTGAATGTGTTCCACCTCTAAGCTACATCTCCAGCCTCTCAATATTTTGTTTGAAACAGAATCTCACTGTATATTCTTGACTGTCCTCAAACTCTATGTAGCCCAAGCTAGCCCTAAACTTGTGATTCTCATGCATTAGCTTCCCAGGTGCTGAGATTACAGAATGTGCCACCACACTTGGTTTGAAGATATTTTCCTTCTTATGGTAATAGGGATGGAACCCAGAGCCTTGTTTGTGCTAGGCAAGTGATTTACCATGGAGCTATGTCCCCAGCCCCCTTCCCTTTTGTAGTACTGAAGATACATACCAAGGCAAGCACTCTACCACTGAGCCACACCCCAACCCTTTTTTCGCTTCTTATTGTCAAACAGATTCTCATTACCTTGTGCAGGCTGGACTTAAACTGACTCTGTTTATTTGTTTATGCTGGCCTAGAATCTGCTATGTAAGATAAGGTAGCACTACCACACCCAGTTTTATGGAGTGCCTAGGATCAGACCCAGGGCTCTGCACTTACCTAGGCTAGCACTCTACCAACTGAGCCACATCCACAGCCCCTTGAACTCCCTCCTGTAGCCCAGGCAGGCCTTGAACTTTCCATCCTCTTGCTTCAATCTCTCAAGTGATTGGGATTATAGGCCTGAGCCAATAGGCCTGGCTCTTCCAGTTTTTGATGTGTTATTTTTAAAAAAACTTATTTATTGTGTGTGCATGTGTGTGTGAGTGTGGATGTAGGAGTGTGGAAGTCTGAGTACAATATGTGAGAGTTGGTGCTCTCCTTATACTTTGTGAGTTCTGAGGATGGCGCTCAGGTTGTTAGGCTTTCTCCACAAGTGCTTTTTACCCACTGAGACACCGTGCCAGCACTGATATATCATTTTTAAGTGACTTGAAATTTCTGTATGAATAGAAATCCATATATTATGTATTTGTGGAGAAGCAAGTAAATACAGACAGTAAATTAAGACAGGAGAAAATTTGAGAGATTAAAGGCAAGATAGTGTTAGAAACAAGAAGAGACAAATGAGAAGATGGGGAAAGCTGAGGCCACCTGAGGACAAAAACATCACAGAAAGCCATGGACATGAAGGTACTGACAGAAAGAGGATGAAAGGGTCATTTATTGAGCTCCTACCTAATATTAACATCATTGCTCTCAAACTTCCAGTGCCATTTTAAGGCTGCAATTACTAATAATAGCTTTATTTAGGCAGGAGTCTGAGTCTCAGCAATATGAACCAAGCTGTTCATGGCCATGCCACCTGGACTGAACCCATTACTTTGTAAAGATCTTGGTTCACAGCATACAACCAGAAACTATTTAGCCAACGAACAGAGTAAAGACCGTCATATCCCCAAAGGACCCAGATCAGACACCTATTTCATTCCACCGAGTCAATTTTCCCTGTCTGGTAAGTCAACAGCAAGGCCTATTGCCCTAGCAACTACCCTCCAACTGCCATGGCAACCGCCAGCGCAGACTTCAGCCCTCCACCATGCCCCTTGGACATCTCCATGGCGATGCGCAAGAAGAGGAGGCTGCCAGAGCCCCGAGGCTGCGCCTGCGTATAGTGGCAGAACGCGGTGGACAGAAGGGGGCCAGGCTCCTGGGTGTGCGCAGCCGCATAGCGCCGCGGCTGTTCCCACTAATCCCGGCGCTGCGCACTTGCCAGCCAGTTCGCCTGTCCGGAGCCCGGCTCGCTGGAGCAGCATGGCGGGGTCGCCGCTGCTCTGCGGGCCGCGGGCCGGGGGCGTCGGCATTTTGGTGCTGCTGCTCTTGGGTCTCCTGCGGCTGCCTCCTGCTCTGTCCACACGGCCGGTAAAGGTGCGATCCCAGTCCGGCGGAGGGTCGAGGTGGGGGTGGGGAGGAAGATACGGGCTAGGGTCGGTGCTGCATCCTCGTAGGAACCAACTCCGGGATGTGCTAAGAGATAGGCAAGGGTGGCCTGGGCTGCAGATGACAGTCCACGCGCAGGCCAGGCGCGGTTTCTGGGTGTGAGGGTGCCGTTGCTCTGGGTTCAGAGATTTGCCCTCTCTATCCATCCATATCCCTGGCTTGGCATGACCTCGCCACGCCCATGGCCTGTGGCGCTGTCCATGACACCAGAAAACATTCAGGAAGGATGTTAGAGTATAGATATGGGCTCCTATGATGCGATGACAGCAGTGTATGAGTATTGTGCTCTTTGAATGTGTGCCCTTTGCTTTGCGTCTGAATGTCCTCCAATGGTGACATTCTGTGTTCAGGTGTGTGATACTAGGGATGCTTCTGTATGACATTTTTGTGGACCTGAGTTTTTGCTTTCACGGTGACAGTGTGTATTTGTGAATCTTTATGTGTGATGACGTAGTCTATGGGCGTGTCTTTCTGTGTATTTGTGCGTTTCTGTGTGAGTTCGTTTTAATTTTTGAAGGAGTGGTCCTTGCAGCTCAGTGTACACATTCCATGGTGGTTTGATTAGACTGAGTGCTAGGGGTCTTATATGTGCATTCAGGAGGCTGTTCTCTGCTTCTTTGTGGAGCTGTGCCATCGAAGAGAAAGTCATGATGTCTCTCTTATGCATTGTGTCTTTAAGGATGGTTATACCCTTACAGATACAAAGAGATCACCACTCCTTCAAAAAAAAATGATGTAAAGTGTTTGGTTGCTTGTAGTGGATGTGGCAGTGTTGAGTTGCATATATGACATATCAAGGGCATTAGAGAGAGAGAGAGAGAGAGAGAGAGAGAGAGAGAGAGAAGCTGATTGCTGGTGAATTGGTGAGTGATTTTCCCAGAGGCTGAGAGAGAGACAGAGACAGAGACAGAGAGAGACAGAGACAGAGAGAGAAAGCTGATTGCTCTTGAGTTGGTGAGTGATTTTCCCAGAGGCTAAGGGTGGTGAATGCTGACCAAGGGAACATGAAACAACTTCTTTATCCCTTCAAAACAGTCTGAATCAAAGAGGAGGACCTTTAAAATAATTATTTTTGTATGGAAGCTTATTTAACGTATATGTACAATTACACAGAATGATGGTAAAGGAACCCCCTTAACATAGCCGATACTCAGCTTAAGAAATAAAATATGACCAAAATAGAAGGCCTGTGTGTCCTTGGTGCCCTTCTTCTCTCCCTAACCATCATCTTCCATTTTCTGTTCATTGATCCCTTACTTTTGTGTGCAGCTTTTCCCAAAACGATCCATTGTTTAGTTTTTTTCTGCTTCTGGAACATAGAAATGGAAATGGAATACATCAGGCATCTGCCTTCTGGTAGTCAGTAAGGGTTACTAGGAAGTCCTTGAGTATCTGATATTCTTTGGTCCTCTGCAGCAGTATTCTAGAACTTGCCTTTGTGTGTGTGCGGGTGTGTGTGGGGGAGTGAGTGTGTGCGTGTGACTGTGCGTGTGGTTTTGTGGCTGGAACCCAAGCCTTTCTGCATCTAGCTCCAGCACCTTTTTGTGTTCTACTTTGGTGGTAAGATTTATTTATACTGAAGTGTATAGGTATAGTTCACTTAATTTTATTGGTGCACAATATCATATATCATGTCCTATGAGTACATCATGAGTATGTTAGTATGGTTTATTTCCTGGTCTTTCCTTTCCTCCCTCTACTTTTATGCTATTACAAAGTACTACTGTCATCGTTCAAGAATTTATGTCCAGTAGGGTCTGTGTGTAACAGCCTAGGAACAGGTCATAATCCTTGCTTCTTTTGAAGCCTTGCCAATTTGACCTTCAAAATTTTTTTGACATTTAATTTCCATCAGTATACTATTAGAGTCTGCATTCCAAACCTGGTATCCAGAAGATCCAGGGTAAGTTCTGAGTGATTAAGGCATCACGGGGGATGTGTGGGCCCTAGGGCTGTTTAGTGCTCTTTAGTGTGCTTGGAGATACTTAGATGTATCTCATTGCCTTAGAGACGACAGGAGTTTTGGTGAGGTACAGCGAATATGGTGGACATTTAAAGTCCATGGAGCCCCACCTCCATTTGGATGACGATTTCTTTCTTCCACACCATCTTCTCACAGGAGCCCCGCAGCAGCCTGAGTGCAGCATCGGTGCCCATGGCTGAGACGGGTGCTCCCCGCCGCTTGCGACGGGCGGTGCCCCGAGGAGAGGCGGCGGGAGCGGTGCAGGAGCTGGCGCGGGCGCTGGCGCACCTGCTGGAAGCTGAGAGGCAGGAACGCGCGCGGGCAGAGGCTCAGGAGGCGGAGGATCAGCAGGCACGTGCCCTGGCGCAGCTATTGCGCTTCTGGGGCTCCCCGCGTGCCTCAGACCCGCCGTTGGCTCTGGACGACGACCCTGATGCTCCCGCTGCACAACTCGCCCGCGCCCTGCTTCGCGCTCGTCTTGACCCCGCCGCCCTCGCAGCCCAGCTTGTCCCTGCGCCCGCCGCTGCGCTGCGACCCCGGCCCCCAGTGTACGACGACGGTCCCACGGGTCCGGATGTGGAGGACGCCGGCGACGAGACACCGGACGTGGACCCAGAGCTGCTGAGGTGCGGATGGAGGGGCGGGAAGGCGAGGAGGATGGGCTATGGGATCCGTTTTACCTTTCGGTGGCAAGACCACCGAAGTCCTAGGGCGGGGCAAAAGGATGGAGGCCTGAGGGAGTGAGCTCCTGCATCCAGGTTGTGGGACACAGATACATGACTGTTAGGACAGTGCGGGGCGAGGCTTCCTGGTCCTGGGGAGGGGATCCGGTTGATCCGTTTCTGCCGTGAGACGTAGGATGGAAAGGCAGTTTCTGGGATGGTAGGCTGGGACCTCTGCCCCGTCTGAAAGTAGTGGGCCCCACAGGCTTGAGTCGGGGAAGTACAGGCAGTATGGGGTTAAAAAGTTGTGCCGTCTGGGTTCGGGGCCACAGTGGTAGCACATGGACAAATCCTCACTAAATTCTGCTTTGCTTGGCAGGTATTTGTTGGGGCGGCTCCTCACTGGAAGCACGGAACCCGAGGCCGCAGCGGCCCCGCGCCGCCTCCGCCGTGCTGCCGACCAGGATTTGGGGCCGGAGGTGCCTCCTGAGGGTGTGCTGGGGGCACTGCTGCGTGTGAAACGCCTGGAAAATACAGCGCCCCAGGCACCTGCGCGCCGCCTCCTGCCTGCCTGAGCTCTGCAGTATCCCGCGCTTCCTGGAGTGCAGGAGCGCTCCAGCATGCCATACTCCCCCGCCAGCACCCCAGCACCCCTAAGATTCCCAAACCCTGACCCTTCAATAAATGCGATCTAAGCAGCTCTTTGTCTGAGTGGCAGGTACTAGGGTCAAGTGGGCTGGGTGATGGTGGTTGTTCTTAGATGAAGGCACAGTACCCATCTGGGCTCTGCATTGACAGGATAGGTCCCTGCCTAGTGTGTGCCTGTCCTCAGACAAAATCACCTAACAGGGACAATGGCAGTGGCATTGCAGTACTAAGGGAGGGGTTCCTGAGCTGCTCTTCTAGGTTTCACTGGGGTGGGGGCTCCTAGGCGGCTCTGAGTTCATTTTCAGCATCTGAACCAACACCTTCCAGGGCTCCACTGCCCTGAAGGCCAAGGGGCCATGGTTGGATGGGACTATTTACTCTGCCCTCAAGTATGTAAGTTTTTGCTCAAATGTCCCTTATTCCATAAGGCTTTCCTTGACCTTCCAGTTAATGTCTTCCATCATCTTTATTTAATTTTTGACTTGTTTTTTTCTTGATACAGGGTTTCACAATGTAGCCCAGGCTGGCTTTGAATTCAGAGATCCACCTGCTTTTGCTGGAATAAAAGGTGTGTCCCATCATACCTGGCCCCATAATCTACTTTAACATATAGCTTCTATCACTGTCTAGCCTTCAGCTGTACAAGAATGGGGCTTTTAAAAAGTGTTTTGTCTCTACATTCCTAGTATCTAAAGCAGTGCCGGGCACAGAATTTCCAAGGTCTTATTGAGTAGCCCAGGCTTACCTCAGCCTCTCAGTACTTGGAGTATAGGTGTATACCACTACCATGCCTAGCCCCCCCAAGTCAATTCTCATAATTCTCTCCCATGGGTGTGGTGGCATACACATGTCATCCCAGCACTTGAGAGGTGGAGACGGGAGAATCAGGAGTTCAATGCCAGCCTTGGCTATCCTACATATTGAGTTCAAGACCAGCTTGGGCTTTATGAGACCGTATCTTAAAACAAAACAAAACAAATAACAAACAGAAAACACTTGGCATTAGAGGCAGCATTGAAACCTGAGAACATTTAATGAATTTCTCACAGAACCTCTCCAAATGACATAACCAGTGCTAGGCAAGTGAAAATCGAACCCCTCACCAAGTGAAAATAAGAAAGGTGTCCATGGTAACTGCTACTCAGTGGGGAAGGGGGGTTTGTGTCAAGGGGATTATCACCTTGATGTGACATGGGAGAGGGGACAATTTTCTTGACTAATATCTTCAGGCCACAGAGCAGCCACAGCTACACATGGCCTTCTGGCGCCGGGTCTTCTCCTTGCTTGGTTCAGCCATGGCCTCCTGGGCCCTCCGGATTTCATGGACAAGCAGAGCAAAGGCTTCTTCCACACCTTGTCGGGTCTTGGCTGAGGTCTTCACAAAGGGAGCTCCCCACCTGTGGGCAAGGCCTGCAGCAGCAGCATAAGCATCTCCAGCAGTGGTCACCAGATCACACTTGTTGCCCACCAGGACCAGGGGCTGCTTGTGCTGAGGGGCCCAGCTGGACCACATCTGCTGCAGCTTATCCAGAGATGAGGGGTCATCGAGAGCAAAGACACCCAGCACACCATCACCAGCTGCCAAGCACTGGTCACGCAAGGCCCTGTGAATATCCTGCCCAGCTGTGTCCAGCACATTCAGAATGTAGCCCCCGTTATCCAGGGCCACCTCCTTCCAGTAGGAATCCTGGATAGTGGGGTCGTGGTCCTTCACGAAGCAGTGGTGGGTCATCTGGATAGTAAGCGCACTCTTACCCACACCACTTGCGCCCACCACCACTGCCTTGTACTCTGGCAGCTGCCTGCCAACATCTCTGCAGTGTGCCCAAGCCTCATGGCTCTCCTCTGGGGATCTGGTGCTCTGTGCACTGGTGCCCAGGTCCAAGATGTTAGACTTCGTTGGCAGTGCCATACTGCAATAGGCAGCTCAAGGAAGAAATGTAAACAGTAGATCCTGAGAGTGAGATGAGAATACTAGATCAGGGCAGACTATTTGGGCAAAAGGGGATCCTTAGGTGTCACTGACTAAACATTCTTAGTTATCTACTATGCTGTTTTCCCCTTCTTTTTGGGGGGTGAGGTGGGGGTGAGACAGGGTCTTAATATGTAGTTCAGGCTGATCTTAGCATTGCAGCAGTCCTCCGGCCTCTGCCTCTGCAGTGCTGAGATTACAGGTGTGTGCCACCACACCCAGCTAACCCCTTCTTCCTTCTAGAGATTAACTCTGAAGACAGGGTTTTTCTTTTATTTTTCTTTTGGCAAGCCTGGGGAATTAAACCTAGGGCCTCTATCACTCAGTTCAGTTATTCCCTCAACAACAAGGCAGGTTCTTTTACACACACACACACACACACACACACACACACGTGTGCATGCTTGCGATTTTAAAATTACATTTATTCAGGGAGGGGGGGCATGTGCCTGTGCCATAACATACATGTGAAGGTTAGAAGACACCCTGTGGGATTAGGCTATCTCCTACTATAATCTTGTCAGGCTTGGCAGCAAGCACCTTTAACTACTGAGCCATCTTGCCTACCCTGGGATTTCCAAACAGTTCTACTGAGATTAATTTGCCTCTCATGAAGTACACCCAGTTACAATGTGTGAGTCACAGAGTTGTGAAATCAACACATATAGTTGAATTTTAGAACTTTGTTTTTTTTGAGGCACTGTTTCACTAGGTAGCCCTGGCTGGCCTGGAACTCACTATGTAGACCAGGTTGGCCTCGAACTCACAGAGATATGCCTGCTTCTGGTGTAAAGGAATGCACTACCATGCCTGACCAAATTTTAGAACATTTAAAAAGTTTTTGAACATCTTTGGGCTTCCTTCTAGAGATTAACTCTGAAGGCAGAGATGGCTGAGTAGGTTAAAAGTACTGGCTATTCTTGCAGAAGACCCGGGTTCGAATCCCAGCACCCACATGGCAGCTAATAACCACCCTTAACTCCAGTTCCAGGGGATCTGACACCTTCTGTCCTCCTTGGGTATTGCACTATATGGGTGCACTTACACACATACAGGCAATATGCTCATACATATAAAATAAAAAATTAAAAAAATTTTTTTGAACATCTTTCTCTTCTGGAAAAGAATCCTTATTTCTTTTAGTGATCCCTCCACTGTAGGATGAGGGTGGGATTTTGTTTTGGTTGCTTTTGAACCCCAGCTTCATGCCAGGTGGTTGCCTGCTTCAAACTTTCCCACCCAAGGGCTTATATTCTAAAAGAACATTATACTAAAAGATCAATCAGGTCTGGAGATATATAGCTCAGCTGGTATAGTGCTTGCCTAGCATGCATGGAGCCTTGCGTTCAATCCTCAGCATCTTTTAAAACCAGCCTGGTGGCTCACACCTGTAATCCTAGACTTAGGAGGTGGAGGCAGAAAGATCAGAAGTTCAAGGTCATCCTTGGCTACCTATTAAGTTGGAAGGCAGCCTGGGATGCATGAGACCCTGTCTCAAAAACAAATTATGTGGTCTATTAACCACCTACTGTAAGGCAGGGACATAAAAGTACATAAAAACTAAGACAACTGGGGATGTGGGTCATTTGGTAGAGTGTTTGCCTCACATGCATGAAGTCCTGGGTTTGATGTCAGCATGCCATAAAATCAGGCAAGGGGCCAGCAAGATGGCTCAGTGAGTAACAGGGCCTGCTGAGAAAGCCTAACAACTTGGGTTCAATTCCCAGAATTCACGTAAAGGTAGGGGGAGAGAAACAACTCCACAAAGTTGATCTCTGGCCTGCCTCCACACATGCACTGTGGCTGGTACACACACAGACACACACATACAGACAGACACACAGACACAGACACAGACACACACACACACACACACACACAATTCAAACAAACAACCGGGTTGTCAGACTGGCTCAGAGGATAAAGGCACACGCTGCCAAGTCTGAGGTCTTGATGAGTTTGATACTCAGGACCCATATGGTGGAAGGAGAGAATCAACTCCTGCAAGTTGTCCTCTGACCTACACACACACACACACACACACACACACACACACACACACACCACAAAAATAAATAAATGTACAAAACATTAAAAACAAAATAAAAACCAAGAAACAAATGAACAATAACAAAATAGTGGTCACACATGTCTATACTCCCAGAACTCCAGAGGTGAAGATAGGAGGATAGGATTAGAAGTTCAAAGCCTCCTTGGAATTGGAAGCCAGCCTGGGCTTCGTGAGACCCGGCATCAAACAAACAACAAAAAGAGTAAACAAGGGCCCAGATGGTGGCATACACCTTTAATCCCTGCACTTTGGAGGCAGAGAATGGTGAAGGTGAATCTGTGAGTTCAAGGCCAGCCTGGTCTACGTAATGAGACCCTGTCTCAAAATAACACAATAACAAAAGCAACAGAAAAAACCCCAAACAGTAACAAAACCCCCAGTAACTACAACTAACCTTGACTGATGTGAACAGAACATTACTTTCTACATTTTATGCTGTCTATAATCTTTTTTTTTTTGCATCAGAGAACAAACAAGATAAGCTTTCATTGTTAGGTATTTTCATTATTATTTAATCTTTGTTGATTAATTCAAGAATCTACCTGTATGCCAAGCATTGTGATCTGATACTAAACAAAACACTTGACTCCTGGCCTAGAGAATCTAGGATTCTTGTGGAGAGACAATAAATATGATAAGTAAGGAAATTATCTTGCATAGTAGAAAAGGATAGGCCCACAGCAGGTGCTCAATTTGTGTTAGCTATTTAATAGCAAGTCATTAACTCAGTGAATGTTCCTCCATATCCGGTTGGGGAAGGGCCCTCCACCATAATGGTGGATGCAACACTTCTCTCTGGAAATGGGAGTGGAGTGGCAGTTTGGATGTAGATGGTGGGTTCCAGGTGTTCCTAGCAGATTCTGTGGAGTTTGGAGTGTCAGGATCAGGGTTGGGGGTAAGATTTCAGGTAGAGGAATCCTTGAAAATGGTCACTGAAGTGCTTACCCACAAAGGGGGACAGGATGAGCTGAAACATGAGAACAGAACTTTGGAGTACCACAGTGTCTGGGGACACAGAGAGGGAAAAGTCTGTGGAGACTTAATGAGGGGATAGGACTAGGATGGCCACAGTGAGGAGGCCCAGGTAGTTGGTGAGTCCAGGGAGGGAATGGCAGCAGAGCAGGTGGAAAGAAGTTGGGTTCCGGTATACTCTGGAGGTAGAACTGAACAATTTTCTTTCAAGATTAAAAGGCAATGGAGCAGGCAAGAATGACTCCTAAATTTGGGGCCAGAGTAGCTGCAGATCTGGAGGTGCTATAATCGGAGGTGAGTTAAGTGTGAGAAGGGTGCCTCCCCAAGGTCCTGACGGTTACTACAAGGGATACTATTGAGAGGAAGAGGCAAAGCAGGCCCCCAGGGTGGCCACACTCCCCTCATATTCGTAATACCCTAGAGAGGCTGAGGGCATGGTCTTCATGTCCGATACCAGCTAACTCAGAAAAATGTGAGGGGACTGGCCACAGGCCGCAGGGCTGAGACGAACTGGGTTCTCAGCTTTCTGATCAAGTTACACAGCCCCTTACCATGCAGAGTGCTATCCCTCTGAGCATCCCCAAAGGTCTCTGGAGAGCCCGTGGCTTCACTTTGAGGTGCCTGAACCAAAGATCTGGCCTCGCATCTCCGATCCAGGAAGGCAAGCAGAGGGGGAGGGGGGCTGGGCACATGGGGTCAAAGAAGAGTGGAAAGGGTACAAGGTTGCCCCAAAAAATCTTGAGACTCCCCCCTTCCCCCTTTTCAGGGTTAGTTTAGACAACTCTCCTGGTCACGCACTTTTCTGTGTCAGAGTCAGGTGGGCTGTAAAGTTCAGGGTCAGGACCCTAAAAAAGTGTGCCTGTGCACCTCCACTTCAGGCGCTAGTCAGGACAGTGGCGCCCGGATGCTCCTTCCTCCTCCCACCCTGAGAAGCAGCCGGGCTTCCCGCTCAGCGCGGGCACTCGAACCAATTAAAATGAGTGCGGGGCTCGCACTCCGGCCCAAGAAAAGGGGACCGGGAAAGGGCCCCTGGAACCCTGGGCGGTCTGGTCCGCGTGGGGCCGGGACCGCCGGCGCCCGGCTCACCTGTCTCCCAGGAGTGGCGGTCCGCTGTGGGGCGGCTGGCGATCACTGTGGGGCTGCAGGCGGCTCTGACCAGACCTACTGGGGGCTAGGATGCTCGCTACCCCCAGCGGCGGAGGGCGGGAACATCGGCTTTCCCCCTCCCACCTGCCCGCAGTCCCGACCCCTGACCCCTGCCTCCCCCTCGCTTTGCACATTGTGGAGAGCAAATGTGGGCGGGACCTCCACCTGCCCCTCTCTACTCTACGCCCCCTGCCAGGCCTCTCTCGCGCTCGCTCGTGCTCTCTCTCTCCCTCTCCTCCCCCCCCCCCCCCCCCCCCCGTCTCCACTTCGTTTGGGTAGACTCTTCTGGGGCCATTTTTGTGGGTGTGGTGCTGTGTCATGATTTGACCTGGAGGACCAAATTTTGGAACCTATTTTGTGAGTTCATCTTTGGGCCTAGGAAGCCCATGCTACAGCTTCTGCTGGGCTTTTTGGTAACTATGGGATAGATCTATCTTGAAGGTAAAGTTATAGGGGAAGGGCTATTTTTGGAGGACAAAAAGAACCTAATTTGATGCCTGCTGTGGTGGTGCACACCCTTAATCCCAGACTCCTGAGGCAAGCAGATTGCTGTTGAGTTAGAGGTCAGCCTGGGCTACATAGCCAGTTCCAGGCCCACCAGGGCTATGTAGTGAGACCTTGACCCCTAAAAAAATTAAAAGAAAAAAGAACTTGATTTGAGGCAAGAGTACAAATTATTAATCCCCCAGACTCCCTTGCAGCTATGTCTATCATAGGACAGAGTTCTGATTAATGAAATGTAAGATGGGACATCTGTAATGCTGGACTGGGCTGTCTTAGCATACAGGAGTATGCTGTATCTGGTCCCCAGCTCTGCTTAAAATTGGGTGTGGTGGCACACTCCTGTAATCCCTGCATTGGGGAGGTGGGAGAAGGATCAAAAGTGTAAGATCATGATGCTGGAGAGATGGCTCAGTGATTAGGAGCACTTACTGCTGATGGGTGTGGTGGAGCACACCTGTAATCCCAGCACTCAGGAGGCAGAGGCAGGCAGATCTCTGTGAGTTCCAGGCCAACCTGGTCTACCTAGTGAGTTCCAAGCCAGTTGGAGCTACAGGGAGACCCTGTCTCAAAAAAGACCAAAAAAGAAAAGAAAAAAGAGCACTTACTGCTCTTGCAGAAGACCTGAGCTCATTTCTCAGCTCCCATGTCTAGTGGCTCACAACTGCTTGTAACTCCAGCTCCAGGGGCATGTGCACACAGCAGCATACACATACACAGATACAGACATAAAAATAAATCTTTAAAACAAAAGTACAAGGTCAGAGTTTGAGACCAGTTTCAGTTACATGAGACTATCTTATAAAGGGCCAGGGGGTGTGAAGCTAGACCTTTCCTCTTCTTTTTGACTAAGTGGGTCTCTGGGGGTCATCTTGGATCAAAAGCAATTCTCATGTGGATTAAAATTCCAAAACTGTCCTCCAGTTATCCAACTCTGGTCAATGGTATTGCACCTTTTCCCCTCAGGATGACCACATCCAGATTATAATTGAACTCATTCCTATCCTCACCAAGCAAATCAATGAGAGAGAAGGGAAACAAGCCTGGTTGAGCTTAATTCTAGAGTTTTCTTGATTTCTTAACCTAGATGATTTCTCACCCTAGAGTTCTGCTAGGACTACCCTGTAAGCCCCCTATTTCTAAGGAAGGCATTCTATTTCTTATGAATTATATTATTTAATCTCCAGTAGAGCCAAACTATCTTCTCCATTTTCAGTTAGATTTCTTGGGCAACTGATGGGCGGGGTCTTGACTTGTTGAAGACCCACTCCTTTCCTTTCCTTCCTTCCCTCTCTCCCTCCTTCCTTCTCTCTCAGCCCTGCTGGCTAGGAATGTGGAGTCTTTAAAATTAAAAAGCTTTCTCCAGGTTTTGTTAACAACTTGAATTTTATTAAATATGCAACCCTGTCCAACTGTCCCCCCTTCAATGTCATTCTTGTGATTTTCAGGCCCTTCTTGGGGCCACTGAGCTGCCTCTCTTTGCTTCTGGGGTGCAGTAATGGTGTTTCTTGAGGAGGCAGTGGGCAGGGGCAGACCTACAATTGAACATCATAGTCCTTTAAAAGGATTTACACTTAAATAAGCACCTGGAGTGACTTGCAAAGGATATTCAGGTTTAAGGGAATAGTGAGACCAAGGTATAGGTTGTAATGAACTAAGCTGGTCTGTCTGGGGCCTCAGAAGGTAAACAGGAACATGTTCTGGGACTTAGTATGAACAGGGCATGTCCTCCCCAAACTTGTTCCGATAGGCCATGTTCTTCATATCTTGGAGATCCTGAGGAAGAGGCAAAGAACAAAGTAGGTGAGAATGAGGGTGGCTTAATTTGTCATGAGGAGACTGTCCTCAACTGTAGCCCTCAACCACTGCATCTCCTGCACTACTCCACACTCCTCCCCCAAATACTCATGGGGAAGCCATACAGAGGAGTCTGTGTTCTCCCCTCACTCAGTCACAGAAGGGATGTGTGTGTCAGGTTAAACAACCTGGCTAGGCTTACCTGGTGGTGTACATAAGCCTGACAGACGTAACACCAGGTAGACAGGTCAACACAGCTGAGGACCAGTGGGTGTTCAGAGGCTTCATGGTGGTGAACCATATGGGCATTGATATAACGGCTGCAGTACACCTGAAGTTGGGAAGTGAGTGTCATGGAGTGCCTGGCACCAGCCTGAGGGTTGGTGCTGGGCCAACCTCTACTTCCTTACTTTGCTCCATACCTGATAACAAGTCAGACACACCCAGTTTTCCTGGAGTGTTCCACAAGTCTTACAAGGTTGAGTGACATCCAGGCCTTCTGCAGGTACAGGGCACACTGCCACCAAATGGGGACACCAGGATAGTGGGGTCACAGCATAAAATATATCCTAGAGTGGGTAGGTAAAATTGAATAAGCCACAGACTGAACTGCCCCATTATGCATCATATGCCCCTGCCTAGAGGCATGAATGATCAGGAGGAAGAAGCCATGTCAGATTCTCCATGAGCTCACCCGGGCATCAAGGTCCCCAAATCCTCGTGTCAGCATCAAGTTGTTCATGTCCTGACCTCCAGTTGCCTCTCCTACTAGGGCCTCCTCAGATTCTGGAACCTCCTGGACAGATAGAAGGAAAAGATCTATCCGAGAGGGCCAGTTCTTACCCCTTCTTCCCTCTTCCCAGGTGGGGTGGGCTTTACCTGAGCTCCATCGCTTAGATCCAAAGTGCTGAGACTCCCAACCAGCTGGGCTGTGGTTTCCTGTACAGGTGGAACTTCTGGGGTCTGCTTGTCTGCATTTGAGGCTGGAGGACTTTGGATCAACTCAGCTTCTCCCATAGCCTCCTGTGAAGTGGTCTGATTAAGCATGCCTTCTCCTGTGGCTGCCTCTGAGGCAAAATGGCCCGTTGTGACACCTCCCTCAGTCTCCTTTGAGGTAGTGTGGTACAGTGTAACTCCCCTACTGGTTCTCTCTGAGGGTTGGCCCTGAGTGAGCACCACCTTAGCTGTCTTTGATTTAGTCTTGCCCAGAGAGGATTCTTTTGAACATAATGCCGACGTAGCCTTCCTCATGCTTCTTTCTGGCATGTTTCCTTTTGGCATGCTCGTTCCCTTAGCCAACACAGGATTAGCGGTTTTGGGTGACTTCTTGGTGACAATATTAGAACTGGAGTGCTCCTCCTTGTCTTCCATCTCTGGAACCATGGAAAAGATACCTGAATGTGGGTGTAGGTATATCCCCTTTCCTACTTCTAATCCTTACCCCTCTTTAGTTCTTTTTATTTATTATTTTTACTTTATGTGTATGCATGTATTGCCTGCAGGTAGGAAGTGTACCCATGTCATATAATGCCTGCAGAGGACAGAAGAGACTGTCAGAGCCCCAGGAACTGGAGTTATGGAC